TTAATATTACACTTTACAAAAAAAATACATATAATTATAGATCTTATCAAAGGTTATTTAACAATGTATTTTTTTTTTGATAATTATATATTTGGATATAAAGTTTTTGTATTTCAAAGTATTTGATGCGACTTAGTGTGGTGTACCATATCTTTTTTCAATATTTAATTAACTTTTGTAATCTGAATACAAAGAATATTTATTTTGATTAAATAAATTAAATGAATATAAATTAATAAGATTATTATTTCATAATCTATATATTTATTATTTTGTAATTTTTCATATATTAATTTTGAATATTACTATTTTTATTAATATTGTATTAATATAAATACAAAAATATTTATTTTAATTATAGAATTATAAATTACAAAAATCTAATCATATATTTTAAAAATATAAGTATTCAATAATATTATACAAATCTGATATAAAATTAAATTTGAAACTAATCAAACTTTATAATAGTATTAATAAAATAAAAAAATTAAATATTAATAAAAAAACATCAAATATTTATATTTAAAAAACTCAATATGAAATTAAACTAAAACAAATTATATAAATTCTTAATTGTTAAAAGTGAGTTTAATTATTATTTTCATTTTATTAGTATTATGAATTTTTCAAATAACAATTAGTTTTTAATTTGATTTTATCAATAATATTATTGATGAGTATTTGGTACTTCTTTTTATTATAGATAATTTTTAATATAAAAAAATTATTGAATTTAACCAAAATCTTTCTTATATTGAAATTTTCTTATATCAAAAATCTTTTATTATAAAATTTTCAATTAGGATCTATAAATCTTTCTTATATTAAGAGTTTCTTATATATATATAAAAATTTCTTATATTAAAAGTTAATTATAATAAGGATTCCAACCCGAATTTTGCTAAATTAAATTACAAAACAAAAAATATTTATTTGTTTTTGTTTTGATAATAATAATATTAAATATATTATACAAAGTTATATATATTAAATCAATCTGAATAATTTTAAAATTAATTTATTACCTTGTTTTAGTATTTCTTTATATTTGAAATTTTGATTATTAATCTAAACAAATATTTTTTAAAATTAATCAAAATACCAATCCTATTATAATTTTTATTTACTAAAATATAGAATTAGAATAATGAATTTTAAAACTTTTAAAATTATTTTTTTTAATTCTCAAATAAATTATTGATTAATAAAATAACACAAATTTTTGATTTGTCAAAAAAAAATCTGATTCAAAAATAGAAAACAAATATCTAAATCTAGCTTGAAATACTATGGTGCATAAAATCTAAAATCATCAAACGTTTGTATTTTATAAAATGTATAAACTTCTTTATTAAGAAGTAAATACAAAATTTAATCCGTGAATATGATAGAATAGGCTTTTTCCGAGCATATTCACGGATTAAATTTTGTATTTACTTCTTAGTAAAGAAGGTTATACATTTTATAAAATACAAACGTTTGATGACTTTAGATTTTATGCACCATAATTGAAATATTAAAAAACAATTTTATATTTTGACTAATAATTAGTGACCAAACTTACCAAAAAAAGAAATTAAATTATTATATTTGTAAATTTTTGCTCATTGGTTTGTTTTTCGGACAGATTATCGAATGGCCTACGCTTTAACCGATTGTGTTTCCCGGAAAATATATCCGATTACCATTTAAAACAATCGGTAAATTTGACTATCCAAAATCTTGAGAAACATGCATGAGATTCAAGTTACAGAGAAAAAGGCAGTAATAGAGAAGGAAGATGAGGACGAGGACCCTGTCAAAGAATATAGCACGCAGCAGCGCAATGCTTTACCTGGGGAGCCAAATTGCGTGGTATGGTACGCGGTAAAAGTGTGAACTTATTTACTCCGCGCTTTCATTAGTTTATTAATTAATTATTTAAAATAGTGGCCGATACGGAGAATATATTTGCGATGAAACAGATCACGATGTCTGTAGCATTGAGTGCAAAAACTTAGATATTGAACTCTCAAAAATCACACCAGCAGTAGCGGCACCAGATAACGCGCCGATTGAACAAACAACAACAGTCCAGACACCTGTTCCACGACTACCTCCACTTCAAAATCCAACTTCCGATCTTTTACACGTAAAATTAACTGGTTATTTCCCACACCCAGAGATAAGTTGTATGACAGAATCACAACTATTCTCGATCCTTTCTACAAATCAAATCAATTGTTTGGGAAAACACATTCCCAGACCCATTCTAAATTTCGCACATTGTCGACTACCTGAAACAATTTATAAAAATTTACAGCAGATTGAAATTCACAAACCAACGCCAATTCAAATGGAAGTAATTCCTGCAGGATTGGAGGGTCGTGATGTTCTGGCAAGCGCTGCAACAGGCTCAGGGAAAACCGCTAGCTTTCTAATTCCGATCATTGTACACGTGTTTGCATTATCACAATATTATAAAAATGTTGACAATAGCAATGGAGGACCTTACGCATTAATTATGGCTCCGAACAGAGAATTATGTGCGCAGATTGAGCAGCATACAAAATCTTTAATTCAAGGATTGCCTAATATGAAAACTGTTTTATTAGTAGGTGGACACCCAATTCCAAATCAGATCCATCGTCTTCAGCAGCGAATTCAAATTGCAATTGCGACACCTGGACGATTTCTTGATATTTATAACCAGTGCGAAGAAACCTATAATTTTTTTACAAATATTCATATTTTAGTGTTGGATGAAGTTGATATGATGTTTAAAATGGGATTTGAGACGCAATTAATGAAAATATTGGAAAATTTACAAATTCCTTTGGGGTTGTCGCATCGACAAACTTTAATGTTCTCGGCTACTATTCCAAAAAATATCGAATCAATTGCCTCGAGTATTTTACGAGACCCTATTAAAATTCTGATTGGTGGTGGTAATAAATTGGATGAACCTGTGAAAACATTCAAAAACTTGAGTGGTAACAATATTGTAATCGCTAATAACTATCATGAAATGATGAACACGAATAGTACTACACTAAACATCATGAACAATAGTAACCCAATTCTCTCAGTGAAACAGACAATTCTTTGGGTCGAGAACAAATCCAAAAAGAAACAATTATTCTCAATATTGAATGATCCAAAATACTATGATCCTCCTATAGTAATATTTGTCGAGTCTAAGCTCGGCGCAGATTTGCTATCAAAAGCGATTGAGAAAAAATGGCCAGGAACACGAATTGCAAGTATTCATGGAGATAAAACACAAGAAGAACGAACGCAAGTACTACAAGCTTTTTTGGCGGGTGAATATGATATTATAGTTGCGACTGGGGTATTAAGTCGCGGATTGAATCTAACAAATGTTCGGATGGTGGTGCTGTTTGATATGGCATTCTCAGTTGATGAATATATTCATCAGGTTGGAAGAGCCGCTAACAAGGGAAGTCAAGGATGGGCAATTACTTTTATCAATGAGGTATGTCTTACTCTTTTAATGAACTTTGCAGCTATTGGATTAATTCGATTAACACACTACTCATTGTTTTTAGGATCATAAAAAATTATTTAAAGAGTTTGTGAAAATGTTAAAGAATCAACCGCTTGGCAAAGTTACTCCACTCCCTTCAAAATTACTAAGTCATGGATGTACCCTCTACGGAAATAGTGATAGATAGCTAGTGAGAATCTACATGTCATATCAATCGGTAATGAAAAAATTTCTATATAGTGACTCTCTTTATAACGACTATTAATAAAAATTCTCGAATTGTCGCTATACGTTATATTGAGTGAGATTTTAATGTCTACCAGTAATCGGGTATTGAGAGTCGTCATTATATCATGACGAGAGCCTCTTTGTATTTGCAATTCTATTTACTACTTATACAAATAATGATTATTTTGATACTCTAACAATACCACTATTACCTCACACAACTCACCCACAATCGTAACAATTTCCTTGTTTATCAAATATAAAATTGAATGGAATATTTTGTAATATATAATTTTTTTACACCTAAATATATCAAAACGATTAAATTCTTTCTTATAGATAGCACTTAATTTTGATTATTCAAAAAAGTAAAGTTTGTATAGATGGTATTGATCTTTCATATTTTATCTTCTTGATTCTAGTAATACTGTTCGAGCACTTTTGTTATAGATATTAGAATAAGAACATTTATCAGGTGATTTCTTAATATAAAATCTAATGTATCATTTGATTTTTCTTTGAATTCTCTTTCTCTTCAAAAAAATCATCTTATAAATATTTCTATTCTAAGATCATTTGATATACTTTTCTTATTTAATTACATTTTAATAAGAAATTATTAAATATAATATATTTTTATTTTTAAATCTTATATTATAAACTTATTCTAGTTGTTCAACAAAACAAATACATATTATTTATATTTATAATATTTTTGCAATTTATTTATATAAATTTTAAGCTTTTTAGTTTATAATTTTATTAAACATGAAAAAAATTTTTGAATAAATTTTAAGCTTTTTTAATTTATAATTTTTATTAAATATAAAAAAATATTTTTGTATAAATTTTAAGCTTTTTAGCTTATAATTTTATTAAATAAGAAAATATTTTTGTATAAATTCAATTATTATTAGTTAAAGTTAATTATTTTATTTAGTATTTATAAAAATTATAAAATAAATAGTTAATTTATTAAAAATTCAAGTTATTTATTTAAAAATTGAAAACTTATAATTAAATATTTATAAATTTCAAGTTTTTCATAAATTTCAAGTTTTTTTTAAATTTGTATTTGAATTACAAATTAATAATAAAAATTAATTTGAATAAATATAAAAAAATAAAATTATATAAAAAAATTATAATTTACTTATAATTTATTTAAAACTAGAAAAATTTATTTAATTTTAGAAAAATTTATTAAATATAATTAAATATATGAATAATTAATTTTGATAATTTTTCAATTTGAACAAATATATTATTATTTAATTTGTTTAAGTTAAACAAATTAAATTATTAAATATTAAAATATTATATTTTAAAATAATTAATTTATTATATTTAAGTATAAAAATTTATAAATATATAATATTTAATATAAAAATTTTATTAATTTTATAAAAAATATTAATAATTAGTATTTGTAATATTTTTATACTCAAAAAATTTCAAAATATTATATTGTTGTGATATAAATTTTAATATATCACATGATTTCTCATAATTTATTTTGATTGAATAATTAATTTTTATATGATTTATAAATCATATTCATATTTATTTTATATTATCCATTTTTACTTCATATTATTTCTATTATATTTCATACTATTTCATTCTATTTTTATATTATTTCATTTTATATTAATTATAATTCATACTAATTATATTTAATTTATATTATTATTATTAGTATAAAAAACACATGTTAATTAATTTACATAACTTAATTTGATTAATATTAATAATAAAATTTATATAACATTAGAGTGAGCAATATATAATTATCAAGTAAGTGAGCAATATATAGTTATCAAACAAGTAAACAAGCAAGTACTTTTTGTAATTATAATATCAATCAAAAATAACTTTAAACTTTAAAGATCAAGTAACAATAACTTATATAAATATAATATATATCTTAGCTTAGAAAAATAATCTTCTTAGATTATAATCTTCTTATACCTTTTAATCTTTCATTACTTTAATTTTTTTAACAAAATCTTCTTAAAAATAAATTGTATTATAAGTTTTGAATTAGAGTTTTTCAGTCAAGTATTAATTATCTTTTTTTTCTTTTTTATTTATAATAAGTAATATCTTCTATTTAACATAATTAATCTTTTATTATTACATTATAAAGTTAATTAATATTATATTATTTAAAAATTTAATAAAAGAAGAAAATAATTTTATTAAAAGTTAATTAATAAAAAAAGATTACTTAATAATTAAATCATTTAAATTAAAAGAAGATTTCTAAACTTATTTTAGCTGTTCAACAAAATAAACACTTTGTTACTTATCTTTAGTAAATTAATCTCTTCTAACTTTAATTACTTAAAATATATAAAAAGCTTTAGTCAGATATAATAACTTTTCCACCTGATTAAAATATATGATCTATATCTAAAAAATTATAAAATCAATAGAAACAGTAACAATATATAATTTTTGAAAAGTTATCAAAAATCAATTATTTATGATAAGAAAAATATTAAATATTAAATTTTATTTATTAAAAAATATTTTCTTTATCTTTATATAATTAAAATTAGTTATAATATATTATAATTTTACAAAACCTGATAATTAATAATAACTCATATTTTTTTAAGAATTACTTAATATTTGATACTCTTTTAAGAATTATATAAGATTTAATTTAATTTTATATTATTTTTTTGTTTATTAAAAATTATATTGTTATGATATGAATATTTAGTTCTTATTTTATTGGTTAATTCATATTATAAATTTAATTGAATAATATTTTATTATATTCTATTGGTTAATTTCATATTTATATTTTATTGGATAGTTATTTTAGATAGTGATCACTTCAAATGATCATTCCAAATAATCATTCCAACTGATCATTTCAAGCGTTCTAAATAATTATTGCAAATGATCATTCCAAATGATCATTTTATAATTATCAAATACTTATAAACACAGCTTGTATTTTAGTATAGTATAGCTTAGCTTAGCTTAGCTCTCAAGCTCAATAGCTCTCAGAACCTCAAGAATAATAAATAATAATTAAAAACATGTAATAAATTAATGATAAATTCATCTAATAATAAAATTATTATTGAATTATGATCTTATAATGAAATTACATATTTATTATATAAAATTCTTTAATTAAATACTATTATTAAAAATTCCAGGTCTCATTCTAGCTGACCACATCATAAATACACTGTTATCTTCCTTTAGAATCATTTATAATCATAGTTTAATGCTTAATGCATTATATAAATTTGATTATAATATACTCTCTCACCCATCATTCTTAATAAATTTTACTATAATTATCCTGACTAAATAACTTATTATAACATTACAATCAAATCTCCCTAAATGTATTCCCCTGGGAACTGATCATAAACATACATTTAAAGAGGGTGTGCATTTAGAGGAAATTATAATAATCAACCAATCAAATAGTGATTTTAATCAATACTGATCAGTCTGATGAATAATTTAGTGATATCATAATTTATAAAATATAATAAAATTAATTTTCTTTATTTAAAATATTCATTTATATGAGTCTGATAAGCTGAACTAATTATTTTTCCTCTAATAAATTTTTCAAGAATATCAATTAATTTTAATTGTTCATCTGAATTCTTTTGTTAAAGCAAAAATATTTGAACATATTCCAAATTTTTTAATGCTAAACTATCACTAATAATTGTAACTTCGATGCTATTATTCTCCTCTTCATCTATTATTTCAATATTCTTATCTATACTTTCATTCTTTTTGAATGTATATGCGAGCTCCCTAATAAACTGATTATTCAGAGGAACTTCGTAAACAAGATTCTCGTCATTAATAGTAAGGAACTCATTAATGTTCATTACATTAGGAAGACGAAGTGCATCAAGTGCACTAATAAGCTCATTAAGTATTGAATTGTCAGTTCTATGAATTTTATCCGAAAGATTACGAATATCCACATTAGTGCTAACTGGAAGAATTCTTGTATGATACCAACAATTATATATGATTTTAGCTGAAACTTCTTTCCAAGCCTCAATAATATACTGAATTGCTTGAAGAATGTTTATTTTTAAATTTTATATGAGATTGCCTGCTTTGACTTGCTCTAACATCCATCTAGAAATTGAAAAAAAAAATTAAAATAAATATTAATAATCATAAATAGCTAAAGATTTGGATATATTAATAAATTACAAATAGTTATTTTTCATAAAAAATGTTAACAATTAATAGATTTCCTCATTTCGATTTCAATTATTGATAATAAATATATATATATATCACCTTCCATTCAAAAAATTCCCTGAATAATCATTATATTAGTCCAATAATAACTTTAATCTTATTCATCCAATACTATGTATTCAACGATTCACTCACTCAAAAGTTGATAATCCATTTGCTCAATATTATAATAAAATGATAATACAAATAGATAGAAAAAAATACTAATCAAAGATGAAAATGACGATAGACTTTTTTAAAAGTCATTATTATTCCCGTATCTATAGGTTGTATTCTTGAAGTTGTGTTTGGAGGAAAAAAATGGACGTCTACATGTCAGAGAATTAAACCTGCTATAATATGACTAGAGCAATTATCAAGAAATAAAAAAATGTGCTGGTCATTGTGCTTTTGTAAGATTTGAAGATCAAATTCGTGAAGCCACTCTTGAAAAAGAACTGTAAGCATCCAAGCCTTGGCATTATTTTGATATGTCATGGACAAATTCTTAAGATTTATATTTTTGAAATACTGCAAGTTGATATACTTGCCAATTATAAGAGAATTCAATTTGTGGGATCTATCAGCATTTGTACATAATGCTATAGAGAGACACTCCTTATTTTTTTACATCCAGCAAGATGTCGTATTGCTAAGGTTCGATCCAGTTTTAATCTGCAATATGATTAAAAATTAATAAAAAAAATAATTAAA